ACTGGGCTCATAGAAAATTATGCTCAAAATTTACTTAAACTTACTGTAATTTAGACCGGATTTCGCATTAGGAAGAGTATTGCGTCTTGATAAAATATTTATTTTGTTAAAATATACGAAATATGTTGTTTATAAATTATTTGTATAGAATAACGCCGATATTTAATTTTCATTCCAAGGAACAGTGACATGATTAGTCAACTCAGATCTGGGGCAATACTACGCTCAAGTTCCGTTCCTCTTAATCGGCGTATCAAATTGAAATATTGTTTACAAATGTAATATCGACTTGTTTTTCCGCATCGCAGCTTTGTGGATAAAATATCGGATGACATGTCTAAGGATAAAACAAAGATATCGATGATCTCAATGCGACAATTCAGTATTTCTTTCAGAGAGTACAAATCAGTTACACAGCTACAAACCAAGATGACGTACCACTATCCACATAATTTTAAATTCATTGGATTGCCTGAACTCCCACCCATAGTTTGCCATTAAAAGTATGATCAGTTGTCACCATGCTACATAACATAAATCAACCTTGACTTCCAATGGATGAGACATCATCGAAGTCAAGATCATCAATGGAGATATGTATTGATTTCGTATACCGAAGTTCTAACGATTTGCTATTCGATTTTAAGCGTTTACAATTTCCCGTGCGTCTGGCGTTTGCAAGGACCATCAATAAATCGCAAGGGTAGGTGTTGGAAGTTTGCTAAATCAACTTAGCGTTTCTCTCTTTCGCGCACGGACAGTTGTACTTTGCGTGTTCGCGCGTTGGAAAACCATCATTTTTATATATTTACGCTCCGCAAAAAAGGCAATAAAAAATGTTTATAAGAAAGCTTTAAATTTATTAAGTCTAGTCTTCAATAAGAACAGTTGGAGTAAATAAAAAATTTTTGGTGAACGATCTAAAATAATCTTAAAACATTATCAGACATTTTAGATTTTGCACCCAAATCAAAACATGTTTTTAATTGGAGAAAAATAGATAATAACTGAGACAAATTCAGTTGGTATAACATTAAAATATATAAAACATTCCTATATCTAACCAATAAAAATTAACACTAAAAAGAAAAATTATCACATAAACATGCTGCCGCTGTGGATAAAATTTATAGAGACTATATACTAGAGACCATAACAATTTAACTTCAGAAGATATGTTAGTGTGCCATCCAGATCTAACCGAAAACTAGGAAAGTACTAGGAATAATTATTTCATTATATTGAAACCAAATATTGGCAAGCTTGAATAAAACACTTTGATATTACTTTTCATATTTTATTGTTATTTTTGGTTTTAAATAATAAATAAATAATAACTGAAAACTGTAAATTAGTTAATGAAATCGTTTTTTAAACGTGTAAAAGTAAAAAGCAAACATATTACCTTATTTACTTTTTTAATTTTAACGGAAGCCCTTATGACAACTTACAAACTTAAGAACTCTAGTTTTTCTCTCGTAACAAAATTTTAAGTATAACAAGACAATCTTCTCTTTTAATTTTCGTTTTCAAAAACATGTAAAGTACAAAACAACAAAAAAACAATACTTTCAAAAATGTTTTTTGGACCTAAGATGTTATGACAATACACCACAGTTACATATGTATATAGACCGCGATATTTATTGAACGTTTAGCACGCAATATTGATAGATCTAGTTCAATTATGTATATTGTTCAATATATTGTATGTGACTTCGCGATTCGACAGAATTAAGCATTGCAGATAATTAAAAAAGATCTGAAGAATTCTTCACATGGGTGTCTAGCATATGTTGGTCCAATTATTTCTTTGGTTAGACGCATTTCTTCAATTTCGACATTTTGTAAAAGCCGAACAACAAATTAAACAAATAATATATCAAAACCATTTTTTTTACCATATTTATTTCAAAAACGCGATTTATTTCGAATAGATACTGGTGCAATAAATATATTGAACTGTATATCATAGAGGAGGTTCAATTGCGGTCCAGCGTATGAATTGTCAAAACCTAACAAGATTCGATTAGTGGATTTCACACACACAGCTAGCTCGGAAGGAGAAATTTTAACAGTAGCGCGTAAATAGAGCTGAGAATTGAATGAAAATTATGCTCAAAAGTTTGCATTGAAATTAGAGCCGAATGTTAGCCTTTTGGCTTATATTTTTATACGTTTATATGCAATTATATATATTGATATGAATTTCATTACGCGAATTTTTATGCATGCATGAAAAACTGATAAAACTCTAATTAAATTATGTAATTTTCAAAATAATATTTATAGTCAATTTGGCCCATTAACAATTTTATTTAGTTTTTACATAATATGCATTCCTAATAAATATAATTGTTACTAATAGTGATTAAATTTATTACATATGTACATCTTTTATCATATTAATCTAATATAGTCATATGTAACAACAGTCGTCACAAGTCAATGTGTCAGCCAAATAGCCGAATCTTAAATTTATAGTAAATCACACAACAACAACATTTTCAGTCGTGAGCGCAGGGGTACTTTCAACAAGCAATCTCGCTTCATTCATAAAAACACATACCCTCACATCTCCCCGAGCATGCTTTTGCCTACAAGGGTCTTTTCGCGACGATGCCACAAGTTAAAACGCATAAATTGAACAAATTTCTAATGTTCTTTCGATAAGGGAAACGTGACAACCCCGTAAAACAAAGAATACATAGTGCCAAAAGTGGCAACAAAGCTTTTGTCGATTTAAATAATTTTTTGTGGCACACAAAAATCTGCTCATATATAAGAACACATATTTACGATGATTTGTTGGTAAAGCTGTTAGAGCCATGGATAATATGATTTGAAACTCTTTGAATCGAGAGAGCGCTGTAAAAGTCCACATTTTTTATAACATTTGGCAATGGTGCCACTAGTGAAAAAAATACGTTTTAAGATTTTTTAATGTATTTCTTGGGTATTTTTCGGTTTCCATTTTACAGAAAAATATACGTAACTAAAATTAGTTTAACAAGCTAGATATCCTATATGACTTCTAAATATATGTAAGTGTATATTTTAATCACAAAAGATTTTCTAAATTAACTTTTAAAACTAATTTTACTAAAATATTTTAATATTTCAAAACATTTTCCAGTTTTAAATAAGTTAAACATGAAAATTACTTAGTTTTTATATACTGAATAAACAAATATCTTTCGATAATTTATTCGGAAGTCAAAGTTTACATAACATTTGCTGGGAATTCTAGCCAAAATATGTATATACGTTGACAATTGGTACTGCTAAGCAAAACAATACTCTGCGACAAAATACACGCTCTTTCTTAAAATCAAAGCTGTATTAAAACTCTTTAAATAAAGATTAGAAATATACGTAAAAGTCACAAAAAAATCTGATCTCACAAATTTCCCACTGATTTCGCATTTTATTTCTGCGGGATTTTTAGTGGTAGTTCATTGTTTTGGTTGTCATCTGTTCAGTAGCTCATGAACTCGTGGTTTTTCTTGGCAGCACTGAAAGTTCATGAGTTCTCTCAGAAAGCAAAGAGAGGAGTTTCGGATCATTTTATCTATGGTATAAATTGTCACGTATAGCGAGGAAAGTTGTATGTGAATAGGCCTTAACTTGCAGTATTGTTCTTCCTGATACATAGCAGATACTAGCAGTAAAAATACAAACCTATTAATTTGTTTTTTAATAGCCCAAAAACAACAATTTGTCGAAAGAGTTTATAATGCCGTTTTTTTCGAAAAAATACTGCGCTGATAATACCTATGAATTTGTTATGACACTGAGATTGGGTATCAAAAGCAATTTGCGTTCAATGGACAAGCGAAACTATTCGAAATGAAAGTACAACAGTTGGAGCATGAGTTTAGTTGAATTTTCACGAGAAATTAATAAAATTTGGATAATAATGAATAAGTATACTATTCAAAATAGACTTTGAAATTGAGAGAATTTGCTGAACTTGTTCCTTTTTAAGAGATATTAACTCTCGTGTGATGACATCCATACAACTCTGCTCCTATGCCTGTTCAATGGTATATAATTAAACAAGAAAAAACGATAACTTCGGTTGCACTGAAGCTATAATACCCTAAACAAATAAAAGGTTTCTTACAAGAACTTGATTCTTATATGATATAGTACTCTGATCTGAACGATTTTTTCGGATAATACTTTGTTGCCTTAAATAATAACTCGTGAAGATACCGATACGTGAAGATCGTCAAACAAAAAAGTTTTACATGCAAGCACTTTATTCCGATCGTTCAATTAATATGGTAGCTATATGCTATAGTTATCCGATCTATACAATTTCTTCGGAGATTGCATTATTGATTTAAACAATAACGCATGCCTAATTTCATGCAGATACCTCGTCAAATGAAAAAGTTTTCCGTGCTATATGCAATAGTGATCCGATCTAAACAATTTTTTCGGAGATGACATTGTTTCCTTAGAAAATAACTCATTCCAAAATTCGTGAAGATATTACGTCGAATAAAAATGTTTTCTATACAAACCCTTGATTCCGATTATTCAGTTTGTATGGGATCTATATATTATAGTGGTCCGATATCGGCCGTTCCGACAAAAGAGCAACTTTTTGGTGAGGAAAGGACAAGTGTGTAATTTCAGATATACAGACAGACGGACATGGCTAAATCAACTTAGCTCATCATGCTGATCATTTATGTATATATTTTATAGGGTCTCCGACGTTTCCTTCTGGGTGTTACGAACTTCGTGGCAAGTTTAATATATCCTGTTCAGGGTATAAAAATAGCAGTTCTACGTAAACGTAGGATTGAGGTCATCGAATCCAAACCTTCGGAGTATATAATTATAAACTGTTGAGGAAAGAGATGCTTCAGAGAATAATAAACGACAATACAGTGCAAAAAGTATCATAACATTTAACACTTCCATTGCGTATCTATAAGTAAAATACCGCGAGTATAATTGCCGTTCGACAACAACATACTAAAGTATACATTGCAAGTGGATATTGGCTATCCACCGGGAATTCTTTATTAATTTACAAATTCTTCTCTTATATAACTTATGATAATTAATCTTTAAAAAATTGCCGATATTCACTAACCCTACGAAGTTTTCAAGTAATTTATGTTTTACATTTTACGATTTATGTTATGTTACCATAAATTTGAGCAATGTTGCCAAATATAATACTCAGTGCTTCTCAGAAACGTATATTCAGGGTTGCTATATGCATTTTTGAGTATGTATACTAGCTTCAGTAACCTTCTGCCAAGCCAAATCCAATCCAAAATAGTATTCAGCGTAAATATACCGGCAACTATACTCCAGTACCAGTAGCACCTCTGTTTCGTACAAGCTGATGACATTGATACGGCCGAGGTGTGCAAGAACAAATACGAACTTCAGTCATCACCCTCCAAACATTACAAAGCTAGAGACGGAAGTACATACTACAACGGTTCGCCTTCTCAGAGTCCACACCCTCGGGCCTAACTAGAGCTGTAATCTCCAAGCTGCAGAGAAGAGAGAAAATGGAGTGTATACGAGTAAGTAGGCGATTCTTTAGGTTATTTTATTGATTTGATCAAAATACATATGCTCATATGCAACAAGTTCCAGCTCACATAACTTGCCATGTTTAACAGTCTGTTCATTTAAAATTATCTAATTATAAAAAGGGAATGGACGGAACTTACTATGGTCATAGTGTTATAAAAAATATTTCACGGGTTATTTATCTAACAAACGGCAATACGATGGTTTAAAAGCTTTATTAGTAAGATGAGTAGATTACTCAAATTATAGTGGGGTTGAAGAGGAGAGCAAAATTTTTGCATTATGAGAGAGAGGACGTGAGTATCCAAATTTTCTCATATATTTTAAATTATACATACCTTACACATTACACATTGCAGGTACAGCCGATAATATGTAATGCTCGAAATAACCGACTAGTTCCAACAGGTATTCGTTTATGTTTTTTACTCCTTCAGGGTGTTGGAAATATTAGAAAGGAAGTTGTTAGAAATATATACTTAAGTTTGTGACAAAGCATTGAAGTTATGATATATTGTAGATATAAAGACAAAAATATTCATATTAAGGCGGTATATATACTTTCTATATACACTTAATTTTATATGTATTTGTGTCTATATACACCTATGTACATATATATTTTTGGATTTAAGGGAATTGGAATACAAACATACGTACCTTCCACATTGGTATCGAAAGCTTTTCTAAGTACATAAGTACAATTATACGTGTACGCATATGTACATGTATACAAGCATATGTGCTTTCATGCGCATTGAGGCTAAAAAAGCATTTTACGAGAGAGTAACTTGGTTAAGAAGCTCACTAGCAAAATTGAAATCGTAAATTTCTCACTTTTCGGTAAAAGCTACAAAAATATCCACCCATTAAATATGTACACATTTTCACAATTCGTTCATCTTGAGTTTTCATAGAGTTCAAAAGGTGCGAGCCAATTTCAATGCCTCAGAGCGCACCATAGTTAGCGAGTGAACACACAGAAAGTCCAGCGATGTGCTCTTCGTACGGTTAACACAGAACAAACGCTGATAATTCATATAAAAAACTTTATACCTATCGAAATAAAAGTTTTATTTAACTATGCATAATTATTTCGTTTTCTTACGTGGACAAAATTGTAAAAATTTAAAATTTATATAGATGTCAAATACAAAAGGGATTTAGCTCACGAAAGATGGCCACTATTTATTAATAACAAAACGAAAACGCGAAAACTAACTTAAATAAAAAAGTATACAAAATTAAGAATAAATATGTGTGTTGCTTATTATTCATTTCTTTAAATACTGAAAATTTTAAAAGTGAATTGGAAACAATGCCTGTAAACTCCATAAACATAGGAGTACATAGGACAGTAAAATCATTTCAAATTGGGTATAAAAAATTTTCTATACCCAGCATGTAGAAAAAAATCAAATCACACTGTCACGGACTTGTACTTTATAGTATACTTCTAAATATGTATATATTATAACCGAATACTGCGCGCGAGCGGGGGAAACGATCAGTATTGAACGACGAAAATTAGCAAGGCAATTGTAAAGCAAATGTGTGTGTTGCAGATAAGTTGGAAAATTTGTTGTGAAAACTACGGAATAATTTTTGTGAAATAATTTTACGGCGAATACGCGGCTCCATAATTTTTTAATCTCTTTGATAGGCAGATTTAAAATGGTTCAATACTAATATGTAATAAAATACTAAAGAGTGGCAACGCAGAGGTACCATACGAGTACTTTTATATGTACATATGGATATAGGTATGCATGTATCCTAAAACCCAAAGCTATATGCATATTCATATATGTACGTGATTAAGGAAAACTTGAAACACTTGAAATACTGTCAACAATTGCAACACAAAAAGTCAAAGGTGAATAAAAATATGTATTAAGATAAGTTATTGTGATAAATTTAAGAATAGTTGTTTTAAGCTACGCACATATGTCTTATGTACATACTGTATATCTAGAACAAATATATATGTATATACATATACATATATTTATTTGAAATCATCCTAAGGTTTAGATACCGACTAGTAAAAAGTGACACGGAGAAACATTTCAATAAAATGCCTATATGTATTCATATATGCAGATAGTTGAAATTGGGTATTAAGGACTTTCCTAAAAGTAAACATTCTGAGATAAGTATAGAGTGAGAAACAAAGACTATTGATACTGGTGTTCCTTTCCCNCCCGACAATAAGTTATTATTTTTCATCCAATACAAATAATAATAATATGAAAAAACATCATCGAAAATGGAATAAAATTTATTTGCTACGTTAGCCGACCTTAAAGACGACAAATTCTATGGCGAGAATATGAATCGAAAACTGAGCGAATGGGAATATGAGCGGAAAGCGGAAACAATAAAACAGCGTTGGAGAGTGGAATGCCAACTATACTCAAAATACAATCCACCAGAAAAGATAAGAAAAAACCGAATATAACGGTACAAATCCATTGATTTAATGAACGAATCGGTTTTCGGCGAATTCGTATACTAAACAACGAGCGTACAAAAGACGAATAAGTAAACGAGCGAGCTACAGATCTATAAAAATAGAATAACCTACCACAATCGCTATTTAGTAACGAATAAACCATGCAAACTTGAAAACTATATTAAATTAATCTTAACAATATACAATATATATGGGTACATAGGTTTATTTGTATGTACATATGTACAATGAACCAGCCACATTTTATACATATTTTATCTGTTTACACAATTATACGCTTATTATTATATTAGTTATGCAAATAATAAAAGGATCGGTAAATCTTTTAAATAAATAATTAAAAATGTTAATTATAGGACATGCTGATATAAATTTCAAATTTTTTTGCTAATTTAACTAAAGCATATTTAGCGATGTTTTTTCAATAAACGTAATTTCTTTTTTAAAAAGTTTCTACCAAATTTATATACAGCAATCTAATATTAATTAGGAAACAATATTTCCAAGTTGGGAAGATTTCTACATTATATAAAAAATAAATATTATATATATTTAAAAAGGCGTTCCTTAAAAGTATCGATACCGATACAATTCTCAAATGAATTGTATACAATAGATTGATCAATATGTCAAATATATTAATAAAATTAATCGCTTCTTATATTTTAACTTTGTTCAGATATTCACTTAGCCCTCTCATAGCATCGCTAAATAAATATAAGAAAATAATTACTAACACAGGTATTTAATTTTGGTAAACTACGGTTTATCCAACAGACCGTCAAAATGTTTATTGAAGAAAGAATTCATATAAATAACCCCGTTTAAATTGTAAATCAGTTCTAGAAAAGTACAGCAGGACTCCCTTTCAAATTTGCACAACTCGAAACATAATTAATCTGCAGACCTTCAACTTACAATAGTATATGTCCAATGCCCCAACTTCCACCTGTCTTTTAAGACACAATTCATCTCCATCATTCTAGAGCAAATTTTAAAAAACTAATCGAGATAGATATGGAGTTATATGTACAAGTATATATAGGTATAAATGATCAGGATGACGAGACAAGATGAAATCTGGGTGACTGTCTGTCAGTCCATCTGTCCGTGCAAGCGTTAAACACCGTTAAACGCCAACCAATTAAGTGCCAAAACATAACAAGTCAAACGTTACGAGGCAATGGTTTAATGTACCATATGTACACAAACATATATCTTCCAAGCCTCTGAAGTTAAATCAACCGAACTTGCTAAAAAGGAATATTTTTAGCATTTCTACATAAATTGTAAAAATGGATAAAATCAGATAACCACGTCCACTCCCAATATAACGGTTATGTTGACAACGACTAAAAGTGCAATAAATCACTGAATAAATGCGCCACAAGCGTTAAATTTCACAACCAAAATTATAGGAAAAGGTTTTATAGGGTCGGCTTTAATAATTTGACAAGGGGCGTGGTACCGCCCACCTTTATTTGATCGATCTTAACCTAATTTTGTGTGTTAGGTTACTCAAACATTTTTATTATACGCTGTGAAAATAAGTGAAATTGGATGAAAACCACGCCTACATCTCATATAACAATTTTTTAAACCCCATCTGATTATTTTACTTTACAGTATACAAATAAAACATGAATGAAGTTATCAAAATAAAAATTTGCACAAATAGTGTCTTCAAGGTATTTCATCTTACGTCCAAAAATTGTTGAAATCGGATTGTTTCAAGGACCCAGACACCAAATATGTGGACCTCAGTGCATACGGCTGATTTTTAACCGAGGGTATCGGTCAATTTATGAAGTCTAGTATTGAAAATCGGGGAGAATATTTTTGTGATGGCAGCAATCTCTTGCGTTGGTAAAATCGTGTCAATACTTCCCTTAGCTACATAATATAAATATTTTCAAACTTCCAGTTGACTTTATATCGCATCTATCGGTCAATCTTAATGAAATTCAGAGAGAATCTTTAATAACTATAAGTGAGTCCACGACCCATAATCTTTCATGATTTTGTCAAAAATTAATGTTGAATTCTTTCGCAAAATTTTTGAACATACAGTTTTGTCAAGACCTGAAAGTATTTCCCCGGCTTAGATTCTGGCAAGTTGCGAAAGTATAAAATGTTTGGTTACAGCCGAATTTAGTTTTGTCAACAACTTAAAGTATTTGATATTTTCAAATTGCGATAGAATTAAATGTTCGGTTACACCGATAACTTAGCCCTTCCTTACTTATTACATTTGTTAACATTCAATCAACGCATTACATACCTTTGTTGTCAAACTCCTCCAAAACGGCTGTACCAATTTTATTGAATTTGGTGTGCTTATCGGATAGGTCTGACAATCCACCAACATCTACTTGTTATGTCCTTAAATGGCAGGGGTGGTCCACCCCAAGTTTTTGTTTTTATGTTTTGGGGTACAATTTCTTGTTTTTATTTTTTCATGATTCAACATTAAAAATACAAACAATTCAAAATTTTCATCCTTACATGATCACCCCTAATTTTTAATTAATTTTGTTCCATCTATCAGTCAAACAGTTATCTTAATATCCATTCAGTTTTCGTCTATTTTTTGTTTGTTTTTATTTGTTTAACGATCGACAAATCAACTTAATTTTACTCTCATATTCAATTCATTCAATTGATAAAGACTGCTTTCGTTTCTAATTGATTAGGAAGTCTGATATCAACACGTGTTTTTATAAATATTCCCTAAAAAAATATTTCCTAAAAATAAAATATATGGAAAAACAACATTTGCGTTCTGGTTAAAAACACATACATATAACAATACTTATATTGCTTATAATATTTTTATATACAGAAAACTTCAAATTATGAAAAATCGTAAAGTAGATATACAATTAATACTTTCTTGAGGGCATATACATTTGAAATAGATGAAGAAGAAGAACGGAAAAAAGTATATAAGAAATAGTAAGTGTCACGGGTAATATTCATGAGATGCGATGTGATCTAAATCTGTTTGTGATTGCAGGTACCGGCCCAAATGTCTGGATGAATAGTACAAATGGATGAAAATGCCGCCGTCGCAGTCACATTTGTTGTCGTCGCCGCCATTTTTTCATCACTTTTATCGAGCACAAAAGGAGCAGTACAAAACACTAAGCCCAAAAAATCAGTCAATAAAGCAACAACTGCTGACACAAAGGTCGAAACTAAGAGCCATCAACAGCAAGACAATAGAGCACCAACTGGAATTCAAAGCCGCTCAAATAGTCAGAATAAACGTATTAGATATTCAGAAATATATAATAGCAGTAATAGAAAAGAAGTTACCAAGGCCATTGAAAGTATCGGCAGTAGTTTCTGTGGTCAGCAAGAAGAATTGCTTCCAAAATTTTTATTCTTCGTACATTGGATCAATAAAAAGATCATTAATCAGTGTGAATTATCCAATTTGATGTTGAGCAGTTGAGAGAATTGTCTGCTGTTATACTAAAAACAACAAAGAAGTAAAAAGGATTATAAGAGATAGACTTAAAAAGTCCGTGTAAAAAAAAGCTGAAGAAAAACTGTTGAAAGACTACAAAAAACCTTTAATTTTGCGTATCTTCGTTATATTGGTCTGCTGCCAATTGCGATTCAGCGATACGCCCCATAATTAAAAGTATCCTTATAGAATGCGCAAAATGGCGGATGGTGGACATACATTTGTAAAGAAGACCTTTGGAAAGCCAACGTATTGTCATCATTGTTCAGACTTGATTTGGGGTATTATTCAGATCGGTTATATATGTGAAGGTATGTATTAGTATTTATTATGTATGTATGTATATACGTGTGAAATACAACTAACAACCGTACATGATATATGAGTCCACAGTCATGCGCTCTTATCATATATAAAGTTTTTATTTAAATCAGTTACTTATCATTTAAGTTAATTAATGAAATTTAATTAATTAATGTTTTTTTTGCATATATATTAATAAAATTTGTGAAAGTATCAAATCAAAAGTATCGGTATACATCTGAACTATTCGATTACCATAAAACAAAGCAAGACTAATCTTCTTTTAAATTGTGTAGTTCAATACTCGGATACTATATGGTATATATACTCATGTACATATATAAGTCCAACATGTGTAATAATATATTTACAATATTGTTGTTGTTGTTTTTATAGTGTGTAATTTCGTCATACACGATCGTTGTGTCTCAAATGTTGTTACTCCATGTTCTGGCATTGCTCCATGTATTATAAAGGTAAGTGACGTTTTGTCAATACTTTCAAATATATATACGTTTTTGTGAGATTCAAATTTTTATTATTTGTCAAGAACATTAAAGAAATTTGTAACAAAAAATAATTTATTTCTGATTTAATATCCCGCCACATTTTAGTTTTCCCAATGCTAAATTTAATTCTAACCAACCGCGCTTAACTCACAAAAAACTTAAACGCCTAAGTCGCTATGATATACATATGTAGTTTAGATTCGACGGCCTTAATCTTCCGTCTACGAGTTAGATGTAGTCAGAAAATAATTTCAATGTAACCAATAAATGACGGTATAATGTTTGAACGAATACTAATTTCAAACAACGCCATAATTATGGTAAAGTTTCGTCATATACATATGTACGTAAAAATTATCATAATCTTAGTTTTTTTATTTAACTGTTAGAATAATTGCTAAAGTGACTTTTGAAATTGTTAAACATTTTGTTAATGAGTTCCCCTTTGTGTGTTTTACAAATAATTGTACACATCCTGATTAAGGCATTATTTAATTTATACAGTACAATTATATTTACATTTATTTCTGTGTAAGTGGGGATTCTTTTATCTTGACAACCTTACCTTGTATTAAAAAGCTAAAAAAGCAAAGATCTTTAATCGACCTTGGTACAAATATTTTCTTGTGGTCGCTATTCGACACATGAATATCAATTGTGCCGAAAAATATAGATGCAGTGCTCAAATTGATTGAGAAAGGTTGTCATGCCACCATGAGATTGATACAAAAACAAAGACAAAATTTGAAAAACTACATACAAGTATATGGATCGAACTAACTTGCACCTAAACTCTTGAAGCTTTTGAAAAAACATGCAGTTAAGTTTACCTCTCTGTGCCTACTTTTTTTGGCCTTCGATTGAATTGTCTCATATCTGTTAACTTTACACATTTGTACAATAGAACCGTGCAAACAAGGAGGATGTACACATGTAATATTTAACAATTTTTCATGTTTTAATAAATAAATAAATTTAAAAAGTCCTAATTAGGCTGATTCAGGGAAGCAATGAATTTTATATACAGTACGATTATATATAATATCATGGCTTTAATTGGTTCAATTAAATAATAAAATATCCATATTCAAATTTATTACGAAATTTTAAACTGCATTAACAAATTTGTTTTAAGAATCCCGTGGCGCATTGCTGGTCTGAGCCAACTCATCATAAAAAGAAATTCTGTACCGTTTGCCGCAGACGATTAGATGATAGTCCAGCAGTACATTGTTTAAGTAAGTTTGTCAAGCTAAGAATGTAAAGTATACCTTAAAATCATGCGTCCTTTCTATTATTCTTGCACTTGTAGTTTGCGAATATTTCGCACACATTGAGTGCCAAGATTTTGCTGTGCCTGATTGTACTGAAAATGCGACGTATGTGCCCGGCAAAGAGTTGCAGAGTGTAAAACATCAGGTATGTATGTTTATAAAATTTGTGTATGTAGTCTTAAGGAAATTGAGGTTGCAACTTCGTTTTTTGATACATCACTTTTGTGTAAAACTTTCCTTTTTTATTTGAATATTTCAAAATATGTGTGGACTACTTTTTATTAGCATTTGAATTTATTTCCTGTTAGCTTAGGGTATAAAAAATTGTTCATCAGCACAGCATCAACAGAAAAAAAAACTAATTGAGAGTATATCAAAAGGGTGTAAAACATCGACTTTCAAATGATTCTTTTTATTTTTTATACTCTTGCAACATGTTTCTACAGAGTATAATAGTTTTGTTTATAAAGTACCTTTTTTTTAATACAAAATAATTTAAAATTCCAATAAAATTTTAATATGCCAAAAATTAATAAATTTACATCAAAATTAAAATTAAATCCACTTCTCAATAAGTTCTTAATATTTTTTATCTTAATATATACCATAAGATACTAAAAATAATACTTTAAGATATATACTAAGAGAAAAAATAATTATACAAATTAAGCTTAACTAGTGATGAAGATATTGAAATTTTATCCAAATATTTCACAAAATTTTTGTATTCCGCTGGAAATTCCACGATGGTTTGATGTATCGGATGTTGTGGTTATAAGAATGTTTTAATATGTTGCCTTGTGTAGTATTGTAAGATAAGATAGATTTAAAAGTTATGAAAATGATAACAGAATTTAATACAAGTATAATATTGTTCACTTATATATAAAAAAAAAGCATCATTGGAGGGAAGGCAATCTACCCCCCACGTCTAAGTGCGCCTACTGTAAAAAGACATGTTGGTCATCAGAATGCCTCACAGGTAAAGATGGATGGTTATATAAATATAAAAATATATTAATTATGTACAAAAAATATATTGTGGATTGAAAATGTTCAGGCTATCGCTGCGAATGGTGCGGTATGACAACACATGGGGGATGCCGCACGTACCTGACAACCGAATGTAATTTTGGTGTACTTCAACCCATCTATTTACCTCCACATTCGGTCTCGATTCCGCGCACCGAGGTGCCCATAGAAGCTATTATTGGCGTACAAGTTAAATCGAAAACCACATTAGTACGAGATTACTCGTGCCGTAAGTATTTACTCTTAAAGATTATATTATTAAGTATATTATCGAAGTCGTTAACATGAGTTGTGGATAAATTTTACTAATCGAAATTAAAAACCAATATTCGAAATTCTTCGAAAAATAAACTACGATTTTATTTAGTCTTTTAACATTTGTATGTATATTAGTGCTGTTAGGATCAATGTTGAAACTAAACGTTTCTGGCGATATAATTTTTACAGTGAAATATATAGAGAGAAAATTTCATTTATAAAATGGTGAAACACAACATGCCCACCACATCGGCTTACTTAGTTTTAGTGGTTGCTCCTTCTTCCTTTGACTATTTGTATCAAATTTGAATGATTGATTAATACCGTTTTGTATGTGTAACCATAGTCCGATTCCACTTAAACGTAATATCATTAATCCTACTTCCACAGAATAATAAGAAATACTTTAGATAATTCCATATATATCGTTGGGTAAACGAAACTAAATTATTATACTCTTCGCAAGATTTACTCTGTACAATCGGTACCTATTTTTTACTAATAAAAATATTTACCAATATTCTTGCACAACATTGACCATTATTGTAGATAGTTTTAAAATTTGAAAATGCTTGATTAATTCCATTTAAATTTCTCTAAGAATGTTCATTCCAATGTCTATTTGATGAACATCACTCTTCATTAGTGAGTACTTTTGGTAAACCTAGAATTAGTTTAAAAGTTGTTTCAATAAACAGTTCGGATTAAATCTCTCAAAAGAAAAGGTGATGGAACTTTTACTGATGACGATTAAATTTTATAATATGTACGTAATCATAAGATATTTTGAAATAGCAAAATTTATCTTCAACTCATAAAATGTGCACGATTATGTTATTTATAAGTATGACTTAGAAATTAAACTGTATTCAATTACGCAAACTTATCTAAACATGAGATTCGAAAACCAAGTTGTATTGAGGATATATCATAAATATCTTAGCAGAAGCAATTTTAATATAAAATACAGTCATATCGTTTATTCCCATCAGCATGCTTTCTGCACTTCCGGCACTCACAACCGATTTTATATCCTCTTTGCTCATGGTTTTTACAATACCATCAACATCAAGTCTATTTCATGCAGAAAAGAATTATAAATCAATTTCCTGATTTTTTTAACTCTAAGCCATCTTATATAAGTTGTTTTTTAATCAGAAAAAAATATATATATACATATTTGTATGTTATTTGGTTGTTTTCCATTAATTGTTTATCAGTTAGCGGCATTTAATCAATTTTAGCAATACCCAACATTCTCCAACCATTTTTGTTTTTATATAAATTCTGTTAAGTTGTAATAAAGTATGCAATTAAAATAAGAACCCATATAAAAAGGTAATTAGAAGTTATCAAATCCCTATAAAATTACGATGTAGGAAAAGTTAAGAAACAAAGCAGTCGAAGTTTATTACCCACATGTCGCAGGTCGCTAGAATGCGGTTTAACAATTGCTAATAAATTTTAATTATAATTGTTTTTGTTTACTTATAATTGAGAGGAACCTTGTGCGATGTCTATACGAGACTATGCAGGACCGACCGAGCATGCTTACCTAGGAAATAAGAGTTTTATTGAATAGTTACTTTTTGACTCTTACATTTTCCATAATTTTCAAGTGAATTGAAAATTCTAGATTATTAGGAATGCTAGCAATTCTTGTAATCTGTAAAGAAGAAAAGATTTATAATTTCACTTATTTATATATTTAGTGGTTCTTATTTTTATTTATTATTTTATTTTCCTTTTTGAAAATTAAAACAAAAAATCTCAAAAATATAGTTGATTTGGGGACAATAGAGTGTCCAGAAAATACTACTACCGTAAACTTCATGACTCCCAAGGAAGGCTCTATAGCAGATGTTATCAACGATATAAATAAGGTCCCCGAACTAAGCTTAAAAGAGATTCTGTTTATCGAAAGACAACGTCGCGAGATATCAAAAAAAAATTTTCTACTTTCATCATCCACATCCAGCGTCACACCAACGCCATCTTTACCTTTAGTTACACTCCCAGTTGTTAATAAAACTGCTACCCATTCTGAGCTCAAAGAAGATGAACGATGCAAGTCTATCAACATACCTCTATATTTAAGTGAAGATAATGATGTAAAGACTGCCAGCAGAACACCACCGAATGAAAATTTGATTTGCAATATACAAAAGTCTTCATCTACATCCTCTTCACTGCATCTATTATATACGAATTTGTTGCGTCGCATGCAGCCAATCTCGCGAAAACATTTGTCATCCAATACAGAAGATGAAGAGGAGGCTATAGATGTCTGCGACGTAAATGGTAGTGAAGCGAGTGAAGATTATCATAACATTAAAATTAAACAGCTGGATTCTAGAGATCACAGAATCGTAGCGAAATCCTTACGACGACAATGTCAAAGCCTCTATGAAATTTCTGATACGGGAGGTGTTTTGACAACCGTGGACGACAGTGATTTTGACTCTAACATAAATCAGTTTAGTAGTTTAAGCTATAATAGTGGTAATATTAATACATCGATAGAAAGTCATTATAAATTAGATGAAAAACTGGAAAATGCTCAAAACGTAATATTAACAGCATGTGCACTCAAAGCGTGTCAAACAATCAAAACACCTACACTAGTTACGCAGGCGCTAATGACTCCAAGTGATGGCAACAGCAACGCACATGAAAAATTTTCAAAGACTGCTGCTTTATTAAAAGCGAAAATGTACAACCTCAGCCCGTTTAAGGGTGTCCCTAACAAAGGCGGCTCTCTGAGTGGCTCGCCTAATTCCAGCGATTGCTCGTCCCATTCACCTGTGCCAGATAATCCTTTAAAAATATATCTTTCGGCAGTGAACCGTAGTAAATCATTCCAAGAGTCTGGAGTCAAACAGTATACACGTAAAAAAGACTACACGCGACTTTTTCGACGTCGCTCAAAAAAACGTACTAATGCTTCAAGGCCCATAAGCACTAAAACATCGAAGAAATCCTTCAGTTTAGATACCACAAGGCAAAGCATAGAAATTACCATACAAGATGAACATGGCAATTATCAACCGTACGATGATGACTATTTGACTTTAAAAGATGGCCGCAGTGGACTTAGCCGTAGCGGCTATACTGACGATGATAACGATTTTGACGATGGGTTCGAGCAAGACTTAATACGGCACGTGAAAACAGAATATCAAACACCAACTTATAGTAGTGAAGCCAGCAGTCCTACAAATTTTCATATGTATTTAGATGATCAGCCGCATAGTTTTACGAGTGACGACGCCACAGCAGGCGATATAAGTGATGGTGGTAGTAGTCGTAGTCGATCACGTGTTAGTGACAATGAAGAACACGTATTCGGACGGTTGCTGCGACGAATGCAGTGCCTATCGCTTGGGTGGCGGAAACATCGTTACTACAAACGCAGAGGTGATTAATGTATCCTGTTGTTTTTAATATTGGTATTTTCTTAATCATTGCCTAATTAACTTTTTTTTACCTTTTATCATGACGAATTCAAATTTAGTTCGTTTTTTACATTCAATTATTTGTGGTAGAAATTATGAATGATAACAAGGTCAAAAACGAAGCATGAAATTTAGTCAGATATGGCATTTTGTCCATTACTAGTCAGATTCGTATACAGCTTAGAGATTCCCCAATACTCGTGCATACTTGTAGATACGTATAGGGTATATACTTAATTTTAACCAAAGGAATCAAGTATGTACTTGTTTGGCTCGAGGCTCCATATTGCATATCTGTTAAATTCTTTATGACTACTTTTATTACTAATATGTTGACTATGGAAATTAAAAACAATAAAAACATGTGCATGATCAAATTTTTTACTTTATTATATTTATTACGATATTTAAATCATTACATCGGTAATATTTTAAATTATAGCGCTATTTTACTTACATATTGAAATCATACTAAACCTCCGCACATATTACTAATGCTAACGTTAACATTAATAATAATAACAATAAATGTAATAATAGTAAGTATATGTATATAGTATATTAATATAGGTATGTATATTTATATATTTTTTCTAAACTAACTGTACTCGACCGATTTCAACCAAATTTGGTGTGAAACGTCCTTCTGCTATGTTACAGTGCGAAAATGGGCGAAATCGGACTACATTCATGTCTACTTTCCATATGACAATTATAAATTCCATCTCATTCTCTCAATAGTATGCAAATGAAGCAAAAATTAATGTATCGGGACAGAACTTTGCACGAATAATGCCTTTAAAGTATGCCACCATTTGACCAAACATTGTCCAAAACTGTTCAATCTTCTAGGTACCGAATATGTGGACCCTAGTAACCATGTTAGTAGTATGCCCCGAACCCCCATACACTAATAATTATTTTTTAGTATTATATATGTGTATATAAAGTTGCTTGAAAATATGTTCTCGAGTATACCAGAGGAATGTCAAAATTAATGCAATCCCGTCCCTTTCTCTATCGCCAAGGGTATTTAAATAATTTCCGTCTTTCCACATGTCTTTTTACCGTTTGGGTGGTCAAAATATGTGATATTTTAGTTAAATTAAGTGGACAAGTTTTCTTAAAAATTATGTACAATATTTTAGCGCTGATTTACAATGGAATATCCCTAATATAAAGAATTCCGATCCTCTGCTTGACGTTTTTCACATCAACTCAATATATTAAATTTAGCCTCTTCGGTCGAGTTAATACCACATCATATATGAAGATGGTTTTAATATAATTTTAGTTGACGTTAACTAAAGTATAGCAATAAAACTAAGTCTAAGTTTATGGGCTTCAATATAATTTGATTCTAATTTATTCACGATTTCATTGAATAATGGATGTTTAATTCTTTCGCAACATTTATTAATATAAATAAAATTACCAGCACCTGAAGGAATTTTTAGGGCTTTGATTCTTGCAAGTTGCAAGAGTATAAAATGATAGTTACACCCGGACTTAACCCTTCCTTAAATGTTTGACATTACCAACACCTTTAGGTTCACGAAGGTATTTAGCTGGCTTTGACCCTTGCAAATACACCCGAACTTATCCCTTCCAAACTTGTTACTATTTGTATTTACTAATATTGTGTCTACTTTGAATTAAGCGTTTCACCACACTACACTCACTTAAGGGAGGCATTGATTGCGATTATTTCACATTACAATAGATAACGCAATGAGTAAGGAAGATAACGAAACGAGAGTTAACAGAGATTAACTAATGTTCAATTCGTTTCGAGCTTAGTCTTAGAGTATAATTTACTCCTGGTGTACACTTTCTTTATCATAAATAATTTTTCATCTAGAGTTTGAAAACTTACCAGAGACGATATGTGTAGAAGCAGCGAAATGATTATATCAACGACCTTCTAGACTGTGAACAAAACAAACATAAATACTATAAGATTGAATTTATTTATACTAATCTCTATATATAATTAGTATTAAGTTATTTTATAATTATATTAACATAACCAAGTTTTCGTATATATACGAGTATCTGTAGTCTTTAAATATCGTGATTGCCAACTTATTACAACTAATATATGTATACCTATGTATGGTACTAGTTAAATAATTTAATTACGGTATGTCGAATAATCGCCAACATAAGTATTGAATAAATTTTATTGAATACGTTTTTAAAATTGTTCCATTTTAATTGTTGGATAGCACGAAGTATATCTGAAGAGTTTAGTAGTGGCGACACCCCACGCTTCAAAGATGAAGAACTGGTTATTAAAACTGATACAATGCACGCTAGTGCCGTTAGTGGCGGAAGTGGTACGTCATCACACTACCGCCCAGAATCCTCACACAAATCGGATAAATCCGACAAGGATAAAACCAAAAAGGAAAAAGAAAGCGAGGAAAAGGACATTGGTAAGAATGAAGAAAAGTATTTTGTACTTGTTTTGTTTTACTAATTGTATTGTTTTATTTATTTTTGCATACAGAAATGATCAAAGTTTTCGACGGTAATAACTCATTTAGACGGCAATTATATCGGGTAATTAGTGTACCACGAACGTATACTTTAGAACAATTACTAACTACAGCATTACGCGCATTCCATATAACTAGAGAACCCAGCGTAAGTAATTAAAAAATTTTATCACTCCGAATTCATTGAATAAAATTTCATTAAAAAAGTAATTTTCGTGCAATTATCGACTTATTTAGGCATTTTACATGACTGACTTGTATGCCCCTTCTGGTATGGAGGACGTTCCATTGCAGGATCCAACGCCCGTAATGAATTTGACGCATTTGGAAGGAAAGAGACCAGCAATATATCTAAGGTTTCACGATAAGGACAAAGGATATGTACGCGTTTATCCGGGTAAACTGCAATGCTCTCTAGAAGAGCCGTTTGTCAATGTTCCTGTTGAAAATACAACCATTATTAAGGATTTGATTCGCGATGCTTTGGATAAATTTGGGTTACAAGATAACCAAATCCAAGATTACAGGTAATAGAACATTAAAAATATTAGCGTATTTTTTATTAAAGATATCTGTAATGCTCCAGGTGTTCAGAGGTATTACTAGACCGTGGGGTTACCGAAAGGATATTATCATGGAATGAGCGTCCATGGGATATAATGAAGCAATTGGGCAAGGATTCCATCAGACAAATGGAACTGATGCGATTTTATATGCAGCATAAGCAAGATCCGCATGGACCAAATATAGCGCTATTCGTTGGAAATTTACCACCAGGCTTATCGCAACGCAACTACGAACAGATTTTGAATAAGTATGTTACAGATGAAAATAAATTTACTAGTATTGGACCTATCTACTATGAATATGGCTCAGTGGTACTATCATTCGAAGACGCTCAAAAGGCGGTAAGTTAGTTAATTAATAGTATCCACAAACCTTATACGACCACAATATTACTATTTGGGAAATAATAAATATAGACATTTAAACCTTATTTAATTACGTTACAAAATTTCTTTGTATTGTAAAATTTACTTTTTTTGATAATACTTAATCAAAAAATTGTGTTTAACACTTTTGTTCAGCGAACGGTTGTAGATACAGTATAATAATAATCGACATATGTAAAAATGATTTAAATGAAGAGACAAATTGATTGCGTTATGCCCTTATCCTGGGCACTAAAGGTAGGTTTATCCTCCAAAGGGGTGTAATTGCTAGCCCACTGTCAAAAAAAAGTAATTAGATATATCAGCGTAACTTCGTAGTCACATCTCATTTGAGTATTTTATATACGTGTATGTTAATGCTAACTCTAAAAATAACTTTATGCAGTGAAATCAACTAGTTGTGGCTACCTTATCACCAGAATGAACCAAGAGCTTATTTTAAAGTTTCCAACAAGTAATTGGTATTTTTTCCAGTTATTTTTTACTAAATTCAACTTTTTTAAGTCGGCTCAAACAAAGTAGACTTACGTGGTAGCAATAATCTAATTCATTTGACTCATTTAGCTTAATTGGCAACCAAATTATAGTTCTTTAAATTTTTTCAATTAACGCCACTTTTTGGGTGGGACGATGATCCGATTTCGCTTATCGGAACATGTGTTACCCAAGGAATTCAATTCGTCTGGGCAATACATTGCTAGAGTATACAAATACAATTTTATGCTTTCACACATACAAACATTTGCAATTAAATATTTGTTTTCATTAGGTTCGAGCTTTCTATAACTTACGTGAAACTATTATAGAAGATAAGAAGCTTTTAGTAATGCTCTTGCCAAATATAGAACCGAGCATGGTACCACCAGATGTACGACCGCTACTTGTATTTGTTAATGTTAAATCAGGCGGTTGTCAAGGCCTTGAACTAATATCAAGTTTTAGGAAGCTTTTGAACCCTTATCAGGTATTCGACTTGGATAACGGAGGGCCATTGCCGGGGTATGAGAAATACATATGATTTTAATTGCCTCATTTAAATCTCATTTTCTTTATAACAGATTGTACGTATTTCGGCAAATTGTCAACTACAAAATACTGGTATGTGGCGGAGATGGCACTATCGGGTGGGTATTACAATGCTTGGACAACGTGGGACAGGATTCAGAATGCTCGAGTCCACCTTGTGCCATAGTTCCTTTGGGCACCGGTAAGAAATGTTAGACGGAAATTTTAAATGATTGTAATTTTAATTATTACTATGAACTACATTACGCAATAGGAAATGATTTGGCGCGAGTACTCTGTTGGGGTTCTGGATATACAGGAGGCGAAGATCCTCTAAATTTACTCCGTGACGTTATCGAAGCTGAAGAGATACGCCTGGATCGTTGGACGGTTGTATTTCATCCGGAAGACAAGCCGGAAGAGTCTGCATTAAAGGCGCCCTCAAATACAACGGGTAAGAAGAAGAAGGCTCACCAAGCACATCTTTCGCAACAAACAAATCAGCACCATCAATTACCGGCCATAACATCGACTGAAATATCAGGTCATTTGATGTGCCAAATTTCACGTTTTTGTAATCGTTATTTATTATTATTATTTCTAAAAATGATATCTATACTCTTGTTGCATATTGCATAGAGTAGAATACTTTTGTTTACCTAACGGTAACTTGCCTTTCGAGTACAAACTACTTATTAGCCTAACACATATTTTGAAAAATGGATATATCCCGGACCTTTTCGAATAAATTGTTAAAATTTCTCAAATTACGTGAGTTATGTAAAACTCTTTTAAAATTTATATAGTAAAGTGTCCCAACATTGGTGAAGCATTATATTTTACAGCCAAAATGTTCAATTTAAACAAAATTCGTTCAAAAAAGGTTAAAAATTGTCATGTAGTCACCGTCTCCCAACCGTCTTCATTTATCTCAATTAAACTGACTGAAAACATTCAATATCACTTAAAAGTATACTACGAAATTTATGGTAAATGGGCAAAATTCGATAATCTTGCTACTAAAAGTTTGAAAAGAAGCAAACATAATCAAAACATCAAATTTAGTACGACTAAAATCATATATCACAAAATATCATACACATCTTAAACAAATTTTGAACTTAAGATTCTTACGACGCACTAAATGCCCAACAGCTTATTTAATCTTGTTATTGATTACTTAAAAAAGAGTTATTATTACAATAAAAGTATATTAGAAAACAATGAAAATAAGATGCAGTGAGGAAATGTTTAATCTTTTCTTTTAGAAACATCCGCACTTTGAGAACATATGTTCATTCAGCACAAAGATTAAATTACAAAAAGACTACCCTACTAAAAATAAACGCTTATCTATCTCAATCAAGAGATACACTGAACTTGAAAAAATAAAAAAACAGTTGCAATATATCTAACACATATTAACTTATCGTAAAACAAAAAAAAATTAACAAAATTTAGGGACATATCCCGAAACACAATTGTCAACAATCTAACAACAAGAATAAACCCCATATAGTAGCTATTAACCCAGAGTAATAATACAATCGAAAGATTAGAACCAAATTAATCGCAAACACAATAAAATGGAAACATACAGACCCACTATCAAGACTTCCACTACGAAAATTATTGCTTAAAGACAACCCAAACAAACGGAATCATAATAAGTAATTCTTTAGCAGCCAATCAAAGTTATATACCATAGAAGATATTAGCAATTAAAAACAATATCAAACACTTATATATAGTTTATACATAGCCGCAACAAAATCGCAAGGAAAATCCCTTAAATTATAAAACTAAGCAACTATATTGCCATAGTCATACAATATAGCAAAGGAAACAAATCCCAAAAAGCACACAACAGCCACAAAAAATACACACCATTGGAAACACCCGAAATAGACTCAATCCACAACTAAAACATTAACATCAACCCATCACAAATTATTTGAACCAATAAATTATACACTCCAAAAAAATAAATATTAAATATGTTATTTCGTAACTTCACCTAAAGTTTTGTACAATAATGATTTTGTATCCAAATTTTTTCTTACTTACGTTTGCTATAAAGAGAAGAAAGAAGAGGAAAAGAATTAAATACCTTATATGTAAAAAAAATCAAATAATCAAATCATTAGAGACTTTTTTGTAGAGCATTTATTTTCCTACAAAATCTGAAAAAAACTAAAGGATATATTTTTTCTATTAGTTTGAAGCAAGATTTGAATTTTTCTATCTGATAATAAGAAAAAAATAGAAAACTGTAAGGCGGAAGATCTTCCTGTTACAAATAAGAGCTCATACTTGGAGAGACTTTTTAGAGGTGTCTAAGAACCTTTTTCTAGAGTACCAAGTAAAATAAATTCGTTTTTTCAATGTGTATCCACGCATTAAGTGCTATACATACTTTCCCACAGTGCCGATGTTATGTAAAAACTAAAATTAAAATCATTTTTGCCGAAACCTCAAATGAATATATTGAATATATATATATGTATTTGAAAACATAAATTATTTATTTAGTGTTATATTGAAATTTGTGAGGTTTATGTGGTTTTAAATAAGGAAATTAAATAATAAACAATAATTTAGTAATTTATTATTATTACATATGCATATCTATTATCTATATGCTTGAAAACTAATCTTACATACATATTTTATATGTTTTCGATATTATATGAGTTAAATGTAAGAATTTATTTGCCAAACCTGGTGTATTAACATCAACAATAAACGCCTTTGTGTCTAATGATGCCACAGTTAGGTTATTTAACTCTTACACCGCCCCTATAGTTTTTCCTGGCTAAGGGGTATCATCGAAGATACTTTTTATCGTTTGAATAAAAAAATCTTTTGAATGGAAAAAATGCGATATTACTATTCAACATAGTTGCCATCTAAAACATGTACATTTTATTATAAAGTATATTATAAAAAGGAGAACTAAAGAGTAATAATATTATATATTATAGACCTATTGCAATATGAAAAAAGCACTGATGAGTGGCCAGTTGTTATGTGGAAAACAAAGCATTTCTTTTCTATTATTGAGAAAAATTGTATTTTCTTAAAAATAAATTAGAAAACTAGCATCGCACTAGTCTTTCTAATTAGGTAGTATTTTATAATTAAGATAACATTAAATCATTTTCATTATGAGTATATTAGTGTATGTAAAAGAATAATTTTCATAAAGTCCCTTCAAAAATATATTTTTGATGGATGAATACTATTGGATTCAATTTGTTATTTAAATTCCCTTTTTTATAGGTGGCGGCGCCCAAAATGAAGACAACTCACAAATATTCGTTATGAATAATTATTTCGGCATTGGCATTGATGCCGATCTTTGTCTCGATTTCCATAATGCACGCGAAGAGAATCCGAACAAATTTAATTCTCGACTACACAATAAAGGTTATTACGTTAAGATGGGTTTGCGAAAAATTGTTGGTCGTAAAACCGTTAAAGATCTTCATAAAGAATTAAAATTGGAAGTTGATGGCAAAGTCGTTGATTTGCCACCTGTTGAAGGCATTATTATATTGAATATTTTGAGGTATGTAAATACAATTATAGTAAAATATATACATTATTACATATTATATATATGTATATATAAATTATCTAGCTAAATTCATATTTCATATACAAATATATATAATACATTAATTTGTATTTCGTAGCTGGGGTAGCGGCGCAAACCCCTGGGGACCAGATAAGGATGATAACTTTTCTACACCCAATCATTACGATGGAGTGTTGGAAATTGTTGGTGTTACAGGTGTTGTACATTTGGGGCAAATACAATCCGGTATACGGACGGCAATGAGAATCGCACAGGTTTGTTAAATCATTACCAGTCAGTTTTAAAAAAGTGTATATATTTTCCATTGACATCTTGGAACCGAAATTAATTAAAATTTTTTATAGGGAGGTCATATAAAAATTCATTTATACTCGGATATGCCAGTACAAGTCGATGGAGAGCCTTGGGTGCAAAGCCCTGGCGATGTTGTTGTTTTAAAGTCTGCTCTAAAAGTGAGTATATTAAAAATTTCATTTTGCAATAAAAATTTTGGCTTCAACTCATTTCATGTATGTATATATATATTATATTTTTTCTCGTGCTTCAATTTAAAATTTATACATTATATATATACACTTAAACATTCGTAGCTGTGCATGCAAAGCTCTGTATTAATTCATATATGTAATATCGTTTATTAATACGGTATATGCATGTACATATACACATACATACATAATCAAAACGTCCAAACCACTGTTAGCTATACTTAGGTACCATACCACTTTAAATATGCATTTCTCAATTTAAACAAAACTAATGGAAGCTCATAACTCATGTAATTTAGTTAATTTATTGGTTTTATTTTGAATTAAATTGTAAAAGCCAATAAAAATGTATTAATGCTCAATTTATAAAATAATATTCATGAAAGAAATTCACTCACGTTTCGTACTTTACGTACGTACACACTTAATATGTACATATGCATATAACATCTTGTTAATAAAAACTATTTCCTTAATTCTTGTTTCTGATTACATTTGTGACATTACATTTTGGGGTTTCTGACCCAATTTATCTCTGAAAAGATCAAATGGAATTGAAAATTGTGTTATATGGGATATAGGCGTAGTTGTTGTTAGATTTGTCCCATTTCAATACTGTGACATAAGAATTCCATGGTAATACAGTGCGCCTTATTTATTTGAAATAGTGATTTGTGAGAAATATATACTAAACCTACAGGGGACGGAGCTACACCTTTTCTTTAAGAGCTTTTATGGCATCGTATGTCTCACCATACCCCTGTACCAACCAAATAGTTTTGTATCTTAATTTGTGGCTTTGTTATAACCTTTTACAGTTCTTCGATTAACGGCATTTGTGGGCGTGGTTCCAGTCTTCCTATTTAAAATACCAACCTTTTTATAGTGCCAATGAATACTTCTGGCCAGTTTCATAAAGAAATCTTACAGACAGATATCCAGAATTGAATTCGTCTCATTGTTATGTATAGCTGTGTGTCTTGATAAGTTTCAGGGGTTACAAAGGAGCGTTAGATGAACAAAACTATTATACAGTGGCAATTTGCGGCGAAAGTATAAAAAAATTTATGTACAACATATACATATGTACAAGTATATACATAATTACTTAGTAGTTTTTAATTCAATATAAATATAATCCAAATCTTGTGTGATATGTAATGCGCACGTATAATACGATTGACTACTAACTAATACTAAATTTACTAATGTGTGTATGAAATATAATATTCCTTATCCTCATTGGATTTTTAATTTGTTTTCTTGTTCCTAACAGTTCGTTGTTACTCAATTCAACATTCCTTTTCATTTTTAAATTCATTCCATAGTCAACAGCGTTCTGTTTCAAAATAATAGGGGTATTCAGTCCAGTTCTGTTATTTCGTTATTCGGTAGATATGTTTTTGTAAAATAAACGGACTATCGTTCTATCGAATAACAAGTATCAGACCGGCAAGCTTGATAATTTTTTCGTTGCTTTCAAAAGTAAGTATTTAATACAATTTAATCAGCTGTTTTGCAATAGCCCTAATTTTTTCAATATGTTCGAAAATTTGAATTCTATCACCTATTTTTCGCACATACTTGTTATATGCAAATATGCAATATATATACTATACACAATGCTAATAAGCATTTATTCTTTGATATACCCTGAATAGTTTGCTACGAAATTTGTAATACCCAGAGGGTAATGTTGGCGCCCCATAAAATATATATATCTTCAGAAAATTTGGCACGGTTTAATATTTATTATTATTCGGTGCAACCGAAGTTAATGTTTTTT